GACTTGATCCATTTATAATGGACTGGACCAAATCCAGTCCAATTGATACCCCTAGTGACGACGTGACGCCTAGGTGATAAGGCACCCTTGGAAGCTTACATCGCCTAATCGTCAAGCAATTTTATATGTTATGTTATAAAATACTTTTATACTCTTAATTTTTTTGAGATTATAATTATAAATTAGACATATTTAAAATAAAATATTCATTTATGCATTTAGATACTATTTTTTTTATTATTTCGTTATTTATTAGGGTTTAATCAACATAAACATTGCTAACTGCTGTATTGAATCTCCAAAAATTTTGTAAAAATTATAGATAATTACTAAGGAAATATGGTTATGGAACCTAGGGAACTACCCTAGGATATATGTTTTTTACTTCAAAAAAAAAATCCATACCTATCACTTAGGCAACGCCTAGACAGGAGGCACCTAGGGGTGATGCAAAGAACTTTAATCTTGTCTTGTTGTTATATGCTTTGTTCTTCATAGGCCAATCATAGGGGTGATCATCAAAAACCTAAAAATCAAACAAACTAAACCGATGAGACTTAACCAAACATTTCGGTTAATCAAACCAATCGGTATACATATACTATATGCATATTTATATATATATATATATATATATTATTTATAATACAATATTGTATATGTATTTATAGTATTTTTATAATATATTTATATATTTATTTATAATATATATTATAAATATAAAAAACCAACAAACCGAATTGGGATTAACCGAACTAGTCAACCAATTAACCAATTGGCTTCGGTTTGATCTTGGTTACTGGTTTTTCAAATACTAGTAATACTGGTTCGGTTTGGAAAACAGTCCCATGGTTTGGTTAACCATGAACACCCCTACTTATCCCTCTAGTCCAGTCCATACGTTCTATACATAGGGGTGTCAGCAGATTGGTTTTGGTTGGACCCCATTTAAATCAAAATCTAATTTGGATCAATTGGACGAACCAATAAAACATTGAATTAGACTAATCCAGACTTAATGGTCCAAAGTATTTGTTAGATTGGACCTGGTCCATTCTCAGTTCTCATTGGATTTATATTGGATTTGGTTAAATTGAAATAACATCTAGCCCATTAATATTTAATCCATTGATAGAGGATAAGAATGCAGGTGTCAATGAACCATCCAATCAAGTTTGGGTTAGAACCGATCTAAACTAAAACAATTTGAACAGATTGGACGGTCCAGACATCAAATTGGACAGATCCAAAATGGTCCAGAATATGGATTGGACATGGTCCATATTTATTGGAAAGGATCGGATTGGACCAAATCTGGTCCAATTGGCACCCCTACTATACGTCTGTGATTCAACTCCGTATCAATGAGTGGACTCATGATGTTGTTGATATTAGAATTTTGATGGCAATCTGTCTATTGAACGGGTCAATGGGGAAACAGTACAATTGTTCGGGTGGATGAAAACACTTAATTAGATGGATGCATATAACGGGTTATGGGTTGGCTAATAGCCCAAAACCAAAACTGTGATGAGGATAGCTGTACGACCGGTTGGGTCGATAAGGGGTTGAAAACACAAACACGTGAATGGAAAATTGCGGGGTAAAAGTTTATTGTAATTTAATGAAAAACAGAAATCTCTCACATGGGAGGCACAAACATGGAAAGCGGTTAAGGTCTTGTTTGTATTGATTTTTAATAGAAATAGGTTAAAATATGTACATATATAAAGCATGCCTTGCCTACCAAGTTGAAGTTGTGGAGCACTACTGGGCTAGTGGGCTGAAAGTTGCCTACTCTTGAACATTTGGTCGGGACGTGGGCTGTCATCTCTCTTTCCAACGTCTATTAAAACACCATACCCTGCTCCCTCCGTTCTTGGTTTTTCTATTCTCAAATTAAGCAAGTTGCATTCTCCGGTCACATTTATTTGTGTTACAACATCCGGAGCTTCTAGAACTTAGAATCTAGACCTTGGCATATGCCGTATAACACCGACGTAGGAATACGAGAGGGACGAGAGCAGTACTGTTGGGTAGGTATCAGTTTGGAATTGATGTCAATTTACAAGCGGGCGTTGGTACATAAGTATGCGTTGTTGACATTTTCAATATTTATAGCTTTATAGTAAAAAGCAGAAATCTGCATTGAACCTGTCCAGACTTTTCCGTTTTATTTTGGGTAGAAATGATTTTAATCTCAACTCATAGAAGTCAGTCAGATTTATATTGTTCAACATCTTATACTATACGCATAATAACTCCTTGTAAGAAAGAATTCCCAAAAAGTCTCCAAAATTAATGTCTATCCATATATTATTAACATTCGCTATACAAGGTGGGGTGAGACATAAGTAGGGGTGAATTCAAATTGAGTCAAGCCAAATAGCTAGTTATTCAATTTGGCTCACCAAGACAGTACGAAGCTTAAGCTCAAGGTCAAGTTTGATTTGAGAAAACTGTTTTATAAAAATAATATATATATATATAAATATTTTTATTTGATACTTAAAAAATTAAGAATTATAATAATTTATTATTATTATATATAATTTATTATTATTATTATTCGAACTCAGCTCGTAGCCACCCGTAGACATAAGGCCTATATCAACTGTGGAAATGAACAAAGAGATTATCCAATCACATGGGGTCAGTGACATGAATCCTATTTTACTTCGGTGTCATATGTATCATTAAATTATAGATACTTGAATCATTTCTTATTACTTCCATTCATATCTTTTTGGGTCTACCTATAATCAGCTCTTTTCGTCCCTTTCAACTTGTAACAAATCATTTTTGTTAATAAAGGTAAATTACTACATAAATTATAAAACTTAAATAATCATCATTATTAATTATCAATATAAAAGAAAAAAAAACATGACTACCATAATCTTATCTATGCCTGCAATACATCTTTCATCTGAATTCATGATAATCACACAAGTTATCTTCATTTTACTTGATACATGATAATCACTATCTAAATTCAGTCCAAACCCAATGGACAAAATTCGGTTGGAATTCAAATATTGAAAAAACTAAATTTAGATCTAGCTAGTTGTATCCAATAGGGTCCAATCTGTTATGCAGATATAATCTTGTATATCTGTTTCTATATATATGCCATGCCAGTAGGGTGGCAACGAGCCGAGATTTTCACGAACTGCTCAAGCTTGTCTTATGAAAATTTCGGTTGAGCTCGGTTTCAACCGAGTTCGAGCCCAATTCACTGGCTTGATTATTAAACAAGTCAAGCTCGAGCCTATTAGAGATCAGCTTGCGAGTTGGTTCGGATATATATATATAATAAAAATATTATAATTATTAATTATTATAATTCTTAATTTTTTAAATATCAAATAAAAAATATTTTTATATATAATTTTTTTAAAATATTTTTTCTCAAAATTGAGCTCGAACTTATGAATTTTTTACTCGAACCAAACTCGAGCTCAAGATTCAGGCTCAAACCACACTCAAACTTTATAGAACAGTCTCAAGCCGAACTTGAACCTAATAGTATTCGGCTTGCCTCGACTCAAATCCACCCCTAGATGCCAGTCATTAAATACATATGACCTACAATCACTCTCGCTTAGAATTTATGGCCGGAATGAGGCGTTGTCATTGGTTATACAATCGGCTGCACAGCTAATCTGACCACAGTTTGTGTTGGGGCAGAGCAGGTAGTGCCTCAGATTACGACCCGTGAGGTGCCTCCATCTATATGTATCGATACCCACTTATCGAGATTCGAGGGACCACAGAGTGAGGCGCCTCACCGCCCATCCCCTCCGTGTAATAGGAATATCTCCCAATCACATGCACGGGAGATGTTCTCAATGCACAGAGGGGATGGGCATGTGGAGCGTGCTCAGTGGGCAGCTGATCCGATCACTCGTATCGTTTTGATATTGTATTATTTTAATTGATGCTTGCAACGTGAACACCTCAACTCTTTACTCTTCGAAAAGCTAATCATGTTGCTGGTGCTATATCTCGTTTTACAATTGAAGTACGATTGTTCTTCGTTTTTTAGGGTCCGTTTGGTTTGTTGTTGGAATCAGAATTGGTATTGAAATCGAAATTGGAGTGGTTTATTCTCATAATCTATTTGATTCAAAACAAATAGAAATGAAAAAATGAACCAATGAGATTTCATTTTCAAGAAAAGAACAGAAAACGACCATTCATGGATGGATGTCTAACCGCGATGTCCAACCGCACGTAGTTTTGACGAACGAATGGATTAGCCTTTGAATCTATATTCTCATAAATATATCCGTATTTTTTAGAGAGATCAGCTCAGTTCAGAATTTATTAGATACAAAGTACAGGGTGAATGCATCCTGACCACCGTGAATTGATGTCAAATTCACGGGCAGATGTGATTTATAGGGGGACAGGGGTATATGTAAGAGGGGCTGGAATTCAGAATTCTGCATAATGTGTCTTCGTACTTTTCCCTACTTTTTACTAATTAGTTGACCCTATCACTTCTTCTGGATGTAAATGTGATGTGACGTGATGTGATCAGCTTTAATTTTGAACCAACTAAACAATAAAGATAAGATGACGATGTATCAGATCAACTTCCCCTCATTCCGTCTGATCAACGGTTGTTTCGATTCAGTTCATTGGAACGCCAAAGAAGGCCAACTTGGCTGTTGAACCTTGGATGTGGGCCGAGCCAAACCCACAACCAAAATGAAACCCGCGAGCGCCCACATGACGACTCGGTCGTCATCACTCTTCCCATGGATTCGCTATGCCATGACGTGATTGTTTTTTTCGTCAGAGGCTACGCCTCAGCCGAAATATGCCATCCGTTCCGCGTTCCACGTTTCTCTGGTGACGAAAACTGGTCGGCAGGGCTACGCCACTCACAACCGTGTATATATAAGCATCTACCTCTGCGCTTCATCGCTGAAAGAAACCAAACATCGAGAAGGTGAAGAAGAAGAAGAAGGTTGAGAGGTTTTTGGCCACAAATGGGAAAGGTTAGGAGCAACAAACGTGTACGTGATCAAGAGATCCAAGAGGAAGAAGACGAAGAAGAACAGAAGGTTGAGAGGTTCTTTGCGTTGATCAGAAGTTTCAGAGACGCCTGCGATCGTAGAAGATTGGAAATTAACGAGTCGTCCTATTCGCCTCCGGGGAAGAGGACGAAGCTGATGGATGTGCAGGAGAAGAAGTCGGGCTGGGTTCCCAAGTTCGAAATGGTAGACTTCGAGGAAGAAATCAAGTTTACGAGGCCTCTGATACAGCTCCTACCTCCTCGTTACAAGCAAGAAGAGAAAAAAAAAGAAGACGGAGAAGGTACCTTAGACTTGAAATTGACCCTCTAACACCATCCTTCGCAATCGTATACAAAAAGAGAAAGAAATAAAAAAATTGATTGCAGACCCTCATTTCTTTCCTTGTTTTTTCCTTTCTTTACGCTAAATCGCTAACACCATTCTTAATTGATTGACTATAACTTCGAGATGGATCAAAAGAACCGTTGTTGAAAATTATAAACAATTGTCGTTGGCCGAAATAAGAGCCAATAAACAGGCCGAAACAACAGCGATTCAGAGATCAGTACCTTCGATTTTGAATTGCACATGGTGGTGATCATTTTTCTATCCCAGTCTGATCCCGGCCCATGATTCCCCCTACTTGGGCAGCTGATAATCGAATTTTTCAGTGAAATTTGTATTGTACATTTTTCATTGTTGTTTGATCTCATTGGTTACATTAGTAATGGATTTAATTAGAAACGATTAAGACTTAGAGGTTTTTATTTGAGGAATAGATGGATTTTATTAGAAAAAATTAAGACGGGAGAGGTTCTTTTATTTTGACTTATATTTTTTTATGATTTAATTTAAAAGTACGAGGTTTGTGGTGACTTCTTACATTAGTAACGGATCCCTCACCTCACCTCACTTCCTTTTTCTTTTCTTTATACGTTACTAGTGGGACCCAGTGCGATGATGAACGGGATTTAATAAACGAAAGTTAAATAATAGAAAGGGCCTATAGTTAGCATTTTACTAAAATACCATTTCCAATTTGCAATGGATTTAATCAATATTCTATTAGATAATAGTGGAAAATGACAGTATTGACCTTAATGTTCATTTAAATAAATTTAATCAAAAGAAAATAAAAATAAAAATACCATTTTTTCCCTTAATAAGACATGGGCAACCACTCTATTGGCTATATTTGGTCAATTTTTTTTCTATACAAAAAAGTGTTAAGGGTATTTTTGGAATAAAAAATCATGGGTCTAATGGCAAAACAACCACTCCTTAATGAAATGTTGATTAAGTAAATAAGTTGTAAAATATATGGGATGTTTTAGTAAAATTAAAGCTATAAGGTAGGTTTAAGTAAATATGTAAAACTATAAGGTGTGTAGAAATGGCAACGGGCCGGGTTTAGGGCGGGGATCATATTCCACGTCCCCGACCCCAATTTTGAAATTAACCCCATCCCCGATCCCCGATGGGAATGGGTTCCCCATGGGGACCTAAATCCCCAAAATGTTTTTAGATAATAGTATTTTTAAAATAAATTTATTGAAAATAAATAAAAAATTTAAATTATAAATAATGTTTTAAATATGTTTTGATATATAATATATATAATATAAAAAATATAATAGTACATTTAATATATATATAATCAAGGTTGGGGCGGGGCGGCCCATCCCCGACCCCGACTAGGGATTCCTATTAATCCATGTCCCCGCCCCTGCCCCGCCAAAACAATCCCCATCCTTGGCCCCATCAGGTTGGGGAAGTTGGGTCTCCATCGGGGATAGGGAAAATTTTCATCCCTAAAGGTGTGTTCTAGTAAATGACCCTAATAGAAACACATAAGAGTATACAATTGTTTTATATTTTTAACTTTTAAATAATTAATAATTATTCATATTTTATATACTACTTTTAATAAATTTTTTATAATACAAAAATAACAATAATTAATTTCAATTAGGTTTATTCATCAAACTGTTGAAACCAACCAACCCAATCAACTTGACTTGAGTTGCTCAATTTTCTAGTATTTTAGGTCGGCTTTGGTTCATAAATTTCCCAATTCGACTAAGGGATAGTGGGGGAGGTAGTTTAGGAGAAGAAATTATTTAGGTTATTGGGAAAGTGCATCTCATTGGTTGTCTTGAAAATGACATGGAATAAAAAAATAAAAGAATTCAAAAAAAGGAGAAAATTTCTTGACCGCTTTGTTTTAATATATATATGTACAAGCAATAACCCGTGTGATGTACGAGTTGTTTTTTAAAAGTGTATTTTTAAGAGAGAAAAATGAAGTAGCATTGATTCATTTTTATACATTTCTAATTTTTTACATAGGGCTGCAAACGGATCGGATAGGATTCGGTAAAGACCTATCCGATCCAATCCAATTAAGAAAATTTGACTATCCAAATACAACAAGGATCCATCGAATTTTCAAAAGGATGATTTGAATTCGAATATATTATCAGATATCCAATTCAATTAGAATTGTATTTATATTATACAATATAAATAATATATTATATTCATTTATATGATATGGTACTATGTTAAAATATAAAATATATAATTATATAAAATATTTCATAATTAACGGATCGGATCGGGTCACAAAGGATCGGATCAGCCAATATCTGAATTCAATTCGTTAAGTTAACAGATCAGCTTTTTCGTTTCAAATTCGGATCGGATTGGATCTTATCCAATTTATTTGTAGCCCTATTTTTAAATACAAAATTGTGGGAAAAGGTATTTTTTTCTTTTCTTTTCAATTATTGAGCTTCAAATATCACTACCACTAAGGTTGGGATTTAAGGGTTTGGGGGATGGACTACTCTCCACTATAGTCTTCTAAAGCCAAAAAAAAATGTGCTTAATATGAGATCAATAACCAAGTAAAGAAACAATTTCAAAATTAAATTAACAAGGATAACCAAAGGTTCACGTTAACTACTTTTTTACTACATTTTATTGTTGAACCAAAAGAATCCATCAAAACAAATCTACACTAAGTTAATAAAAAAAAATAGAGAAAAAACTTATATCCCATGGAAACGAGAAATGGTTTCTTTAGACTTTTATATAAGAAGAAAATTGTTTCACCCCACAATTGGTGGGCAAATTGGGGTTTTGACATTAGTTTGGGTTCAAGTCAAGGTTCATATTTAGATTGGCCCTTAACTTAATCCGACCCATCTAATTAATACCCCTACATAAGAGGTGTTAATGGGGAGGGGAGATGTTACAAATTTTGACTATTAAGGAGTGTGTGTGTGTGTGTGTGAGAGAGAGAGAGAGAGAGTGATCTTATTAGAGAGTAATAGGGGTGCTTAATCGAACCAGTAATACTGGTTTTTGGAAAACAGGTAACCAAAACCAAACCAAAGCTAGCTGGTTAACTGGTGGACCGATTTGGTTAACTATTGGTTCGGTTCGTCAATTTTTTAATTTTTACAATATATATTATAAAAATATATAATAAAAAAATTATAAATATATATAAAATATTATATTTTAAATAATAAATAATATATCATATGTTATAAATATATATATATATTGCATATTTATTAATTTATAATATATAAAAATATAAAATATATAATGTACATAAATATATATAAATTATATAGAAATATATGTATACAGGTCGGTTCGGTTAACCACCAATTTTCTATATTGGTTAACCGAAACCGAACCGATTGGTTGGATTAACCAATTTTTTAGTTCAGTTTTGGTTGGTTCGGTTTTTTTCATTTTCTTTCTTTTTTTTTTGCTCACCCCTAGGGAGTAAATATGAATTTTATGAGAAATAATGAAAATCCATAAAAATTTTAATTTTGCGTTGTTATATATTTAATGATTTCATTTAAAAAGAAATATGCACATATATGAGAAAAGAGGATAAGATGAAGCACACACGTTATGGATTCAGCTATGTTCAAATCCGATCTAAAATTCTAAATATCGGGTTCATACCCAGGCCCGAGCCCACCCAAGTTCCACCTTTAGGCTTTGTTTAGTTCACTAGAGAATAAGAGAGAAACATAAAGTAAGAAAGTTCTTAACATATTTTATAAAATTCCTTATGAACTTTCCCTCAATTTTTTTTTCTCTCTTATTTTCTTTCAAACCAAACACAGCTTTAAGGAATTTGTAAGCAGCAGAAGTCATAACGAAATTTTAGTTAAATAATTTTTTTTTTTTTGCGTATTTTAAAGATCGGGAATCCAATGGTTTGAAGTTTGATATCAACGAACACATTCATTCCATAAGAGCTGAACCAACTAAGAAATTGAAATAAGATTGTTGGATCTAACACTTTACCTTTACCAATGAAGATCATGACAGGATGTCTTGAAAGCAAAAAATGATGTAGCACCCTAAGAGCATAGCATCCAGCCATATGTATGGAATATCTCCTGATGTGTACATGATTTTTGGGTTCAGGAGATCCGTGCTCATGAAGATTTTGTTTCCTTCCAATTCTAACCAAGTTTAGCTAAATGCATTGGCAGTTCAGCATATTGTGGAACCATTGATTATACCCCAAGTCAGTCATAAAATGCAGGGTCCATAGTGAGAGATTGAATGGTTGTGCACCCTTCATATTTTATGACTGGTGCAGCGCATTATCATTGGTTCCATAACTTGCTACACAGCCATTAGGTTCAGTTAAGCCTCATTCCTGTTGCTTACTTAGCAGGATATAGATTGTTGTATGAATGCATGATTTATGTGCATTCCAATTAGACCTGCCCACAGGTCAGACCGGGTCAGGTTTTGCTTCTATATTAATGGAATATGTTCAGGCCTGAGCTCGAGCCTAATCAGGAATTTGAAAAAGAAGTTTTTTTTATTCAATTAAAAACTATTTTATTTATATTAAAAGATCTCAAAATCTAAAAATAAAAATGAAAGATTTCACTATTACTTGAAAAAAGAGAAAAAAAAATAAAGAAAAAAATATTATATATATTATATAATATATTATCAAGTCAAGCTCAAGTTTAGACCAGGTTTTTTCAGAAAGCCTGAGCCCGGTGCCAAAAAATGGTTGGGCCCAATATTTTAGGTCCAAGCCTAACTTAGATCGGGCCAGGTCGGGCCGGCCCGTCAAGTTACCCAGCCCATGAACAGGTCTAATTCCAATTGAGATCTTGTATCAATGGATCCAACTAATAGTCACCTAGCAGATCCAGGTACACAAACAAGTACCTTCTAGTTCCACTAGTAGTGGCACATCCTAATGAACAATGTAAGGTTTTATTTAAAAATTTTCATATATATTTTGATTCTTGAAAGTAAAAGTATTGGATATAAATCTAATTAATAGAATTTATTGGTGAGAAAGAAACCTTAAATATAGGATATAATGAGGGAAATGGGAATTTATACTTTAAATATAAGACTTAAAGAGAGAGAATTGGATGAAGCAAAAAAGTAGTAATTGAAATTTTCGATGCTTGCAATGAACCAAATTCAAAACTAGGCATAACAATAAAGAAAATGAGGGATTAATATCATAAATGAAAGAGAACCGGATGAGGTAAAAAGTAGTATTTTCGATTATATATTTTCTTCCTTCATAATTAAAAAAAAAAGACCAAACTGAAAAAATAAATAATTTTAATAAAAACTCGTTCATACTTTTAATAGTGCAGGCATTATATATAATTGAATTAAATTATATTAAATTGCACACGACCAATCCATATTTTATCCAATTATAAATGAATCGAATTTAGATCATCCATAAAGAGACCATTGCAACCCTAGTATAGGAGACCTGGACCCGCCACCATTTTAGATGGTTGGCTTTGATTATAAACTTGTAATCAGGGCATGGTTTTCAAAACCAGACTAGACCAGATCGGATGGTTGGACTGGAAAATTGGGAACTAGTCAGGTGACCGTTTTTTCTCAAAACTGAAATTTTTGCCAAAAACGTTGATTTGATCAGCAAACTGCTGACCTGGGTGGTTGAACCATTCAAACCATTCAACAGTTTTGACCATTTTTTATTTTTAAATTTTTTTTGTTAAAATAGGCCGTCTGTTCGATTTGAACGATCAAACAGTTCAATTTATGACTGTTTTTAAAATTAGCAAGATTTTATCACAGGGATGAACTTAGAACCGAAACTGACCCAAACCGACCCGACCCAACCCAACTCAGGTAACCCAACCAGGTTGGGCCGGTTGAAAAAACCATAATAAACCGACCCAACCCGACCCGTAAACAACCTTAATTTTGGCATACGCGCAGTTGCTTTTATGCACCAATCCGGTGTGAACCTGTGGTCATGTTAACTCCCCTCAATCTCAATCTCATGTGATAATGGTTTGATATAGGATGGGATGGGTCATGGGTGGGACCGTTTTATTGTTGAATGTTGGCTGTTGAGTTGATCGACGAATAATGGCTTTAAATTAAGTCATCAAGAACAAAAGCCGAGAATGGTTCCATGACGTGCAGATAAGGTATCTGATCTGCCCAATTAAGGAGGGTAGGGGCCGGTACCTATTGGGTACGGTAGAAATTGCCATTCCTATAAATTTTGAGTCGAATTTAGATTTAATTTATAATTATTTTATTATGTTTAAAAACAAAAAATAATAAAAAATATTTTAATTTATAATATATAATAAATATATAAATATTAAATATTAAATTTATCAATTATAAATTTTATATAAATATATCATATAAAATTATAATTTCTTATTGGCTTCGGATATCAAATTTTCCAAATTGGTAGGATAGAGGTGAGCAAAAAAACTGAAAAACTAATCCGATAGAACCAAAAAATTGATTAATCAGATCGACCGGTTCAGTTTCAATCAACCAATATAAAAAATCAACAGTTAACCGAATCAACCGGTATACATATATTTCTATATATATTATATATATATTTATAATTTTTTATTATATATTATAAAAAATAAAAAATAAAAACTAAAAAATCGACACACCAAACCGATAATTAACCGAAACCGATCAACCGATTGATTTCAATTCGCTTTCGATTACCAATTTTCCAAAAATCAATAGTATCGGTTTTACCCACGGTTAAAGTAGGGCGCGCTCATCAACGAGATCGCCGTTTAAAGGCAACAGTCTGACGCATGCTGGGTGACGGCAGACTTATCTAATCACAATGAATTTACAACTATACCACCAAAAAGCAGGTAATGAAACATGGGTTGTGCTGGGACCTTGGGAGGGATTATAGTTGTGGACCTTGTGGTCATTTTAGTGCAGGAGTTCGTCCAGTGGAACGATAAATTGCCCCATCTATTCCTTCTTTTGTACTACAGAAAAGAAATTGCGACTCTTGCTCACCCCTTTTTTTCTTTTCATCTGTGTTCTGTCGTGATAAGAAAGTTAATATGGAACGAGAAAAGAGAAAGAGCCAAGTTATCGAAGAAGACGATGCTGATGAAGAGGAGAAGATGGAGAAATTTTTTGATTTGATTAGAAGCTTTCGGAGCGTTCGTGATCAGTTGCGACAAAAAGTGAACGGATCCAAGAAGGAAAAGGATAGAGAGAAATCCAAAGAAGAAGAATCGGTCTGGACTCCGTCGTTCCAATGGGAAGATTTCGCGGAGGATTTCCAATTGAAGAGCCCTTTGTCAGTGTTTCAGGGGCCCTCTTCCAGCTGCGAAGAACAGAGTAATAAACCAAAAGATAAAAAAGCTGACGACGACGACGACTTAGATCTCAAGCTCTCCTTATGATCTAGCTAGCTACCATTTCTCAAGCTCTCCTTATGTTCTAGCTAGCTACCATTTCTTCTTCGTTTAATTTCTTATGTCCTTTCTGGAGTACTCATCATATCTGGCCATGGAGAATTGCTGGTTTCATTTGCTATATGTATGACTTCCCTTTTTTCTAGTGCATTTAAATTAAAAGCATGGAAGTAAAAGAAGAACGATCCTATCTCCATTTCCTTTGTCTTTTCACCTAGAAGGTTTACTTGCAAGGGTGAACGGACTGAGAATTTTGCCTTACGATGGATGTAATTACTAATTAATGTGAGTTTGTATGATCACAGAGATCACAGAAATACAATGTTTAGTAAACAATGGAATAGCATTAGCATAAGAATTTCATCATCATCTCCTCTCCTATTCTTCATGGATATATTTTTGGATTTTAATCTCATAAGAGATTAAATCTAATAGTTTAATTGGTCAATTACATGAGAAATTGTATCTGCACACCTAATTGAAAAATTAGTTTTTCTCTTACAAAGTTTAGTTTTGAACTTGCCCCACATGGGAAAATTATAAAATTTTTTAGTATTTTAACATGAGCTGATTTTACATTTTTTAAAAATAGCAGAGGAGAGTATGAGGGTTTGATACTGTGCAATACGCACGTAGGGCAATAAAACACTATAGAAGCACACTTTTCTCATCATTAACTCTTAACTATTTTTTTAAACAGTTGTATCTTAAAAACGGATTTACCTGTAACCCAACAATAAACTCAGTAAAACTGAGTGGGGACAAATAACATTCTAAAAATAATGTTTTACACGTCTCAAAGCTTCTTTTTCAAAATTATAATAACCCCATTTTCCTATATATATCGAACAAATGAAGGCTGGCATTAATAATAGACCAAGCGTGGAAAGGAGATCCAAAGTCCCAAAAATAAGCAGCACTAAGTACTAAGTAGGGAGGGCAATGGCCTAAGTTTTTTTCATTTTTTTCTTTTCTAGGTATCACATAAGATAATGGGGTAAGGGGCCTAATATGTCCTTTTTCCTCTTTTACGGCACGCATTCTACATTCATATCCTTAACTTTAAAATTTCATCCGGGTAAGTAGTAGTCATATATGATTGCTTTTGTGTAATAATTTCAAATAAATAAATTACTATTTTATTAAAAGACATGGAAGCCACGAGAAATTAATTTCTTTTAATTAGTTTACCCTAGTTTTTAATAGGACTTGCACTTAGGCCTTGCTCCTTTACCAGAGGAAATTCAACAAATTTTTTTTGTGTTTTTTATCTGTAAATTAAATGTGGGACTCAAAGTGAAATAACTTTATTCCTCAGATAAATTTAAGTGGCGTTTGATAAATCTGAAATCTGAAAAGTTAAAAAGATATAAAAAGTGTCTAAAATTTGAAAAGAAATAGTTGTTTTTTGATTTTTTAGAGGCTATGAACAAAGAAGGTTGTTTGTGTTAGATCAAACGTTCAGTATTTGAAATTCACTAATTTTACTATTTTACCCTTAAATTAGACTATTTGATTGCAGTGACAAGAGAGAGAGAGAAGGTCGGAACTCATCGTCGCTAGTTCGCCAGAGGAGTCACATGCTGTCATTGCGTCAAGTGGAGAAGATAAACGGTGAGAGGGAGAAACGCAAGCAACATTTTCAAGGGCATTTTGGACTTTCAGGCAGGTCTGAAACGCATTTGAATGCTTGTTTCAGATCTGAAAATAATTTTCAGACCTAAATTCAGATGCACTTCCAAATACCTCTGACGTTTGAAAAGCAACATTTTCAAACTTCAATGGTCTGAAAAGTGTTATCAAACGGCACCTTAATGACACAAAAACACTTATTAATTAAACAAATGCTGAAAACAAAAAAAAAAGTACAAGAATAAAAATGAAAAAAAAATACTTATAAGAAAAAAGTACAATCAAATGCACTTACCTAGATAAACATTACTTGAAAAATACTTATGATGAGTTTGGTTTGAAGGAAAAAGTAGGTAAACCTTTACAAATCTTATATAGATTTTCCTATATTTCTTTTCCTTTCCCTACTTTTTCCTTCAAAGTGAAAAATCTCATCCTACAAAAAGAAACCATATGCAATATTTTAAAAAGGAACAATGGCACTAACAATTTGAGCCATTACTCCATGTTGGTCCCAACTATGTATGTCTTGGGTATTGGGAGGTGAGGACACAGTCCTAACGTTTGGAATCAGCTAAGCAATTGATGACTGGGTAGACTTGGGGCACTATTATTGGTTAAACGACCCCTAACATATAGCCATCAAGTTTAACTAATATGGACTCACACCTAGGACTTGAACTAAACTTTCTACCATGAATAAAATAAAAGGTGTCAAATAACCTTTCCAGGTTAAAAGAATCTTGAGACATCATTCAGGGTTCTTCTCTACACAACTATACACTTGGTTGCAGCTTGGGTTAGGTGAGTCCAGATCTCTTATAGGCAAAACTCTGTTTACATTTGCCTCCGGTTAGATAATGGAAAGGAACATCTCTTATACATATATGTTAAATTTATAGGGAGATATTTCTAATATGCGACTAAATTTTAGGGGTGTAAACGGATCGAATGTGAATTGGATCAGGCAATATCCGAATTCGAATCCGATTATATATTCAATTCGATTCGATTCGAATTTGATTAATTAATTATTTTAGATAATTAATAAATATATAAATTAAATATTTATTGATATAAAGTATATAAATATATAACTTAATTATTATACATAAATCATATAAAATATTTTATATATTATATATAAGAACTAAAAAATCGGTCGAATTCAGATATTTATTGAATCGAATCAAGTTACATCTGAATTTGATTGACTAGATATTTGAATTATCCGAATTTGATTTAATTATGTTGAATATTGAATTTGAAATTGGATTTTCAAATACCGTGACACCCTACTAAATTTCCATGCATTCAAAGTGTCTACAAAGTTTTAATTTGTAAAAAATCCTAATATGGGTCGGGTTGAATTTGGTAGTTGCTAAATTTTCACCGAGTCCTAAACCCTAACCCAATCCTGATGTATTGTTGTTCATTTTAAGCACTATCAAATTGGTTGAGAATGTAGCGGGATCCGATCCGATTACAATTCTAATAGATGTCCTGTCCTTCAGGTCAAGAATTTTCATGTAACGTAAAGAATAAATGTCTAGATGCGACAGAACAAGCACTAATGTACCGGATTTCAACAAAATTCTGAGCATAAGTATGTTTTGGAAGAAAAATAGAAAATAGCATCAAGATGGGTGACTTTGGGAAGTTTTTGTGTACAATCCCTCCTTTGTATTTATTGACATAATATTCGAAAAGAAAAGAAAAAACAAAAAGAATCAAAGTTTTCAAAAGAAATCGAGGAAAAAAGGCTAAAGCTACTGAACTAGTACATGGGTGTTGGGGCCTATAGGCCATCTCTTGCCACCTTTTTCCATGCTTGAGCATCAAAACGTACCAATGGATGGGTCAAACCGCTAGACCAATATTAAATCTATTTGTACTGAGGTTCAAGGTTCCTAGTTCCTACACTTTGAATGGACGTCGGAGAAAAAAAGCATTTACAAGTAGAAAAATAAAGTAGTCTTATAATGAAAAGAATAGTCCTACAAGGCCACAATTAAAACCCAAATTACATTTTTCAAAGTAGTAGCTCATTGTAATACTTTGAACTGATCTCATCTTGCTTCTAATTTGATCCTTGTAACAAACGCCAGGTGGCAAACTCGAGGGCTTGGATTATAGGAATCCTAGTTCCCGAGGACGAGAGTGCGACTCAAGACGCCCTGCCGAAGAAAATTCACCGGTGATCACCCTCATGCACGACGCAAAGTCGCAAAGTTTTCAAACTTTTTTTTTTTTATTCTTTTGGTAAACCATAAACGTCTCCAAACTAACTAACAAAAGGAAATTTTCCGATTAGTATCCTGTACTTTGGGTTTAGTGTTACTTTTGTCTTTGAATTTTAAAATGTGATAATTCAGTACTTGCTGTTAACTAGCTATTAACCAGTTATTAAGTGACATTTGAAAAAGACACAAATATTCTTTGAGAGTCATTTAATTTTTTTATCAATAAGATAAAAAATTAACAGTCTCAAATCTTTGTCTCTTTTATTCAAGAAAGTTGGGGTCACCAAAATGTCCACTCAAATATAACCCCAACATTTTTGAATGGAAAAGGCAAAGATTTAAGACGGTTAATTTTTTGTCAATGTTTAGATGGTTGATAAAGAAAATTAAATAACACTTGAAGGGCATTTGTATCTTTTTCAAATGCCATATAACAACTGATTAACAGCTAGTTAGATTGTCATGTTTTAAAAGTTTGGATATTGAATTATCACATTTTAAAGCATGGTTTTTAAAACCTGACCAGACCGAACGATTGGACCAAAAAAATCAGGAACCAATCAGGTGACTGATTCCGATTTTCCCCAAAACCGGATTTTTGCCAAAAAATTCATTGATTTAATCAGCAAACTGTTGACTTAAGCAGTTGGACCATTCAATAATTTTGACCATTTTTTTTTAAATTTATTTTTTTGTCAGAACAGATGTCAACTCGAAAATCGGACCCCTAATCAATTCATTGTCTAATTGGATTTCAAAAACCTTATTTTAAAGTTTGGAAACCAAATTGGCATTAGCCCAGATTACAGGTACTAATCGAAAATTTTCCCAAAAAGAAAAGGCTACGCCATCATATCACCACGTTTCTCATAATTGATGATGAACTGTTAATAATAATACACTACGCAGACTCCGGAACGCAACACAATGATGCAAAGACGGAAACACATCATATCACCACTCTGGCACCTCGGCTCCAGGTCGTGCGACTCTAAAACCATGTCTAACAGATCCGTACTCCGAGGCAGCACACCTGACTGGTCTGGGTCTAACAGATGGCAATCACACCATAACGGCCACCTGCCACTGCCATCCCAGTTGTGGCAAAGACGGCCCTGACAGAGGGGACAGTGGCGG